AAATATTGATCTAAAGACTCTTTGATATATACGATGTTTTACCTGTTTTCTAATATTTGTAATATGTTTTAATAAAAAATTGAATGGTTTTTGGACTTAACATGCTACTTCTAGCATTTTTGTGGGTTTTGAAGTTAATACAGATTTTTGAAGTATTTTGGGCCTAGAAAGAGAGAAATCAAGCCATTTTAAGGAATGACAAATCATGATCGTCAGATGTATCGCTCAAGATGAAGGAGTTCCTACCGTTAGATCAATAACATATTTTATCACGAGATAGAAGAGGATCTCGGCTTCAAAATGAATATTCGATCACCACAATCCGACGGTTAGATCTTGAGATATTTTCAATCTAAGAAAATATGTTTGAGTAAAGATCAAGCTAAAGGCGGTTCAAAATATCTACCCATGATCGATCGATCACCAGGAACGATCGACCAATCATAAACTCAATGTTTTTTACGGACAAATGCTTTAACATGGTGATCGACCGATCACAGGAGGTCGATCAATCACCTCATCTGAGAAGATTGAGAATTTTTCTTTTTTGGAGATTTTCTCCTAAATCCTTTGGGAAAAGCCCTAGTCGACTTCTAGGCCTATAAAAGGAGACTCATCAACCTCAAGAGAGAGGACACACGCTCACCACCATCACCATTTCAAAAGTTCTTAGTTTTTCATAAGTCCTAAGGCATTCATTTCTTTACTTGTTACTTTGTTTTTGGAAGAAGAAATCTCACCTCTTTATAACCCTTGGAGAAGTTTCTTGAAACCTTTACTACTGTTCTTAATTCTATGAGGTTATCTATTGCTTTTGCTTTGATATACTTCATCATGTTTGAGTATTTCTCTTGTTGGTAACTAGGGCAATCAATTCGAGTGGTTCTCATGGTTTGATAGATAGGATTTTTTTAACTAGGGTGGCAATTTTGATAGATGTAGATTACTCCTTCATCTTGTCCGTGCTTAATACATGTTCTAGGGTTGATCATCTTGAAATTGATCTTAGATAAAGTATAGAGTTCTAACCGTTCCATTACTTGTCTGGAAAAGAATGTTTGATTCTTTAGGAAGACGAGAGTTAGACCTTTAGGATTGAATGAACAATTGAACATCTTTGCAATTGCATTAGATCTTATTCTTTACCGCTGCAAGCGTAGAATGATAAGACTAGTTCAAATTAGTAGCTAATAATCGTGATAACCTGTTTAGCTTAATATGCGTTCATGTTCTAGGAGGAAAATCAAATCAATTGTCCCTAGGAATTAATTGAATAACTCGAACTGTGGAACCCTGAGAATCTCCGAATGCCCAACACTTTTTTTATATTGTTTTAAAATCAAATTTTATTACCGTTTGATCACTCTAAAAACCCGTTGCTTGACTTAGCGTAGTTCTTAGTTTAAATTGCTATTGAGTGTTTCTA